AGGTCCCAAGCAAGGCAGCTCCTTTGCTTCAATAAAACCCATGCCTACAACAGGAACAAAAGAACCAATCAGTGGAATAATGGATCTTCTTGGCAGTACTGTGCTGATTCATTGTGCCCAAATAGGAAAAGAGATAAGACTATTCCTACCCTAACAGTGCTCCTAGCTCCCATCGGAAGTAAGGAAGATTGACATTCCATAGTACCCCCACTAGCAGAAAGATCTCCTCCTGTACCATCATACCTAACTCTTACTGCAGCGTCATCCAGTAGAAGTGTAGTAACCCCTACACCCTGCACATCGCCACTTCAGTCAACCACCAAACCCTTGCCAAGTGAATCATCAGACACCAGTCCTACAGTCAGACCCAGTTTCTTCTCAGGAATCTTCGATTCATCAGAACCGGTCAACCCACCAGTCCCAGTAGAAAAACAACACCCAATTCCTGTCCCAGCAGAACCCAAACCAGAACCACCCAGATCTCCAGTCAATCCCAATCCAGAAGAAGATCCTGCTGATAGGCACCAGAACAACCCAGAAAATGGTAACCCGGAACCCAGTGATCAAGAAGATGACGGAGATATGTCTGACAACAACAGCGGAGCAGTAAACAAGCCTAACCAATTTGAAGGAGACAAAGGAAAGAGCAAGGAATTCCTGGACAAATTATACCTATACTTTGCTGGAAACACCAAGAAGGTCCAGCCCAATAAAGATAAGGTTCAATGTGCTCTTTCATATATCAAGGGACCTGCCTAATTCTTTGTTCACACCATCATCACTGATGCAGAAGAATCTATATCTGATTCAGAAGATGCCCCCCTCAAAGGATTGCCTAGTTGGGCTAATTTCAGAAAGTCCTTCATCCGGACCTTCAGAGTAGAAGATGACACTCAAGCAGCGTTAAATGAGATCAGCAAGTGTACTTGGGTGAAATGTGGAGGAAATGGCCTTTGATTTGTTACAATCCTTTGGCCACTCCTACAGGCCAGCGGATTAAACAAACTAGGGCAGATCCGAGAGCTTCAGTGTCTCATTCCCCCTGCTCTTCTAATCAAGATTGCTGCTCAACTGCTCCTGCCAGTCACAGCAGTAGGATACCTCAATAGTGTCCAGTCCATCTGCCAATCTATAATCAACATCTTTGGTGATAAACCCTTATTCATGCCATCCGCTAATTGTTCTTTTGGTTGTAACAAATTCATACGCCACAATTGGGCAATTGAGTCAAGGGAAGGATCATCAAAGGAAGGATCATCTAATGATCAGCGGATCAGATGTTTGTTGGATAAAGATCACAAAGAGCATATGGAGAAGAAGTTATGTTTCAGATGTCACAAACCTGGACATCAAAGTTGCCAATGCCCAAACAATCGCATCAGGGCAATTGAATCACATGACACATCTACTCAGGAGAAGGATGAGATCAAGGATTCCTCCGATGAGGAAGGGATAGCTGAAGAATACATTCAAGCTATATCCTCTGAGAAGGATTTTTGAAATCTTCAATTGCCGTGACGTTGAATATAAGTACTGGCACTAAGGACTATTTATATCAGGCGAGATTAGCTCATAAATCTATTTATTTGCCATGCATATTAAAAACCTATGCCAAAACCGTTACCACTGAGGCATTGCTTGACACAGGAGCAATGGAGAATTATATCGACATCCAGTTTGCTATAGATCACAACCTCCAGCACCAGAGTATTACACCCAGACCAGTGTTTAATATTGATGGATCACCAAACAAAGCCGCAGCCATCAAACACAAAGTCTTCTTCACTATATTCTTATCAGGACAACCAATGAAGATAGAAGCATACGCCACAGTATTGGATAGGAATCCAATTATTCTAGGTCTTTCATGGTTCAAACGTTTCAACCCAGCCATTAACTGGGTCACTGGGAAGATGCGCTTTTGTTGGGATCAGCTTCTGCGAGCAATCAAAACTCTTGCTAGTAACATCCCAGAATACCTAAATACCTTCCTTTCCGTGTTCAACAAAAGCACAGCCGAACAACTACCAGAACGGAAACCCTGGGATCATGCAATCAATTTAGAAGCCAACTTCAAACCTCAGTGAGGAAAGTTTTATCCATTATCACCGGCAAAGCTCAAAGAATTAGACACCTTTATCAAGGAAAACTTGCAGAAAGGATATATTCATCCATCAAAGTCCCCTATGGCATCTCCATCCTTCTTTGTCAATAAGAAATCAGGAGACCTGCGACCATTTCAGGACTACAGAAAACTCAATGACGCCACCATTAAGAATGCCTACCCTATTCCAAGAGTAGAAGACCTATTGGATTGCGTTGCCTCTGCTAAGCCAACCATGTTCACCAAGCTTGATTTACGCATAGGGTACAACAATGTATGCATCAAAGGTGATGAATGGAAAGGAGCATTTATTACTCCACAAGGGTTATTTGAACCAACAGTCATGTTCTTTGGAATGACAAACTCTCCAGCAACCTTCCAAGCTATGATGGATGGCATCTTCGCAGATCTACTACTAGAAGGATGGCTTGTGATCTACATTGATGATATTCACATCTATTCCGCCAACCATGCAGAACATTGACAATGCACTCAACTGGTTCTCCAGTGCCTGAAAGAATCAGATCTGTTCCTCAGACCCGAAAAGTGTTTCTTTGACATATCAGAAGTCAAATTCCTAGGGTTTATTCTCCGACCAGGACAAGTAGGAATGGCAGAAGATAAGGTATCAGCAGTACTAAATTGGCCAAATATTGACAGCGTCAAAGCACTGCAATGGTTCCTAGGTTTCGCCAACTTCTGCCACCAATTCATTCCAGGATACTCCAAAGTTGCATGATCTCTATTCTATCTATTGGTAAAAGGGATCAAATGGAGTTGGACTGATGATCATGACAAAGCCATCAATCAGCTCAAGGAATGTTTCAAAACGCTGACCACTGCTGGTACAGTCTGATGTTACCAAACCATTTTGGATGGAGTCAGATGCCTCCCTGAAAGCCTCCAGTGGCATTCTATCTCAGAAACAATCTGATGGAAGATGGCATCCATGTGCCTTCCTATCCCAGTCCTTCTCTCCCATAGAACAATGATATAAAATCTATGATCAAGAACTCTTGGCAATCATCAAATGTTTCAAAGCCTGGTGATACTACATCGAAGGATGTGCCAAACCGGTGGAGGTATTGACAGATCATATGAATCTCACATACTTCAAAGATCCCCAGAAATTGAATCCTTGACAAGTGCGATGGGTGTTGTACTTGTCCATGTTCAATTATCGCCTTCATCACGTTCCTGGAACCTGGTTGGGTAA